GTTATTGTCGCATGGGTCAACAGCCGGAAGAACGAGAGCGCTTACTGATCTTAGAAATCTAAGAATAATACTGAATAATAAGAATAATAATAGAATAACCTGATCAAGGAGTAGCGGATTTTTGCATTACTTTGGAAAAGCTGGGGAGGCAGGCCAACCCAGATTGTACGCTGGAGGATCGTTCACTAGAATACGCGCAGATCCTGCTCGATAATCTCAGCATGTGGCCGGAACATTTCCAACTGGTAGGGGCGCTACACAGGGTAGATCCTTGCAAAGGCGTATGAGGAGGTGAAGCAACTAGCGCTCAGTATAGAACAGTCCAAGGTTATGTTTGGAGCTAGTAGGTGGTCGAGTACAGGCCACTGGAGAGAGAGAGCGGCACAGTACTCCCACTACGGAGATATGAGTAGCACAAATGGGTCGATGCCTCACCGCAAAAGGGTGGAGAACGTAGGAGAAGTGACGGACACAGAAAAGAGTGGTCGGCGTAACTATTCATCAAACTGGTACAAACTGATAGGACAGGACCACAGGAACAGATACGGTACACGGCGCTTACTGAGAATAACTTTCCACAAGAAGTAACAGATGGCAGGAAGTGCTATAGGTGTTTGAAGTACGGCCACATAGCAAGAGACTGTCCCCAGCAAAGCATAAAGGTGAATCAAGTTAGAAAGCAGGGCAGTGCTGAGAAAAATACTCTGTCAGAGATTATTAGGCAAGCCCGCAGCCTGGGGATGAGAGTGAAAAGAGAACTTGGAAATAAAGATGAGCTAGTAGGCGGTCGATTCGTAATGGAATTGAGTCTACTGGGCGGTAGGTATCCAGCATTAATAGATACAGGATCGATGATTAGTGCGGTACCCGTAGAGATTTTAGCAAAAGCACAGGATAGAGGAGTGAATGTGGACGCGTTGAGATTTGTAGCGAAGTCTCAGCTTCCACCAGTCTTTGATGCATCCACTAACAGGATGGAATTTCTTGGAGCGGTATACATTGGAGGACAGAGCTCAAAGGAGGGAATCGAGGCTTGGTGCCTTTTTATATAAGCCCAAGTAAAAACGACGAGATCATATTGGGAACTAATGCCCTCAGTAAATTAGGAGTCAAGGTATCCATAGTTGGGAAAAAGAAGAAGATGGCAGAGGGCATCTAGGCAGAAAAAATGAAAGGGGATCGACAGTAGGGTGCATATACGTGCCACCGCGCAAGGTGGGCCGTGTGTCAAAGCAAGCGATGTGGATCGTCCAGTGGAAGCCGATTCTCGAGCTAGCAGAAAGAGGTTTTGCACACGGCGTGCATTGTGCTCAAATGGAGAGGGTCGTCAAACCTTCTCCGGAGGAAAGAGCAGATGCGGGACGCAGAAGAGCGCATAAGAATGGAAAAAGTAAGCAAAAGTTGGAAATGGCCAAACAGAACCAGTAAGAGGAACTGTGTCCAAAAATTGCAGAGCGCACCCACCTATTCAAGGAAAAAAATCAATTCAAGGAAAGGATTTTCTACAGAGTCGAATTGCCACGGCCGGGCGTCAAGCGGTCGATGAGGGCATCGACTTCAGCGAGGGGGGGCATGTCAGAGAGGAACATGCCGCCCTCGAGAGATCAGCTGTAGATCAGCTGGTCTGAGCGGTATATCGACAGGGGGTGGTAGGAGTTGATCGCGGGGGGTCATGGAGGCCACCTTTGCCAGAGGGAAACCAAGCGGCGATACGAGGTAACCAATAACTGTGCAAGAGACAAGTGCAGTTCTCAAAAAGGAAGCTATTGATTTGTGGGTCGGCTCCGAAAGCAAGAGGGCCCGACAGTGAGGCTTGTGGAAAGAGGAAATCCACAACAGGAAGCTATGATGGGGGACAAGAGTGAAGTACCCCAGGATATAGTAAGCTCAGTAGATGAGAGAGACAAAAGTGAGGTGGGACTGCAGGAATGGGAGGTTAGTCTCCGAATCTTGCAGGATGCTCAAGAGAGAGCAAACGGGGATCCTGTCAAAGTCAAAGCTTTCGAGCCCCCCCCAAGCCTAGGGACCTGACGTGGAAAGCGTATGGCGGAGAGCTATTGAGGAGATGGCAGAGCTCTGGAAGAGAAATCAAGGAGGGAAAAGTTTGCCCTCGCTTCTACAAAAGGAGATTGCTGACACCCTGAAGCAAAGAGGGATCAAGGGGGTGGAGGATTGGAGAGAATATTTAAGGACCATGGAACGAGACGGCGAAGCATTGGCGGAAATTTGCGAGGTGTTGAACACTGATGTGTCGCAAGTAAAAAGAAAAGTCGTCGATCTGCAGAGACTTCTGAGCCTCAAAGAAGAGTCAATAGAATTTGAAGATAGGATGGTTCAATCTAGCGCGCGCCGAGGATTGGTAGACAAACTGGTGTGTGGGAAAGGGTCCCTGCCATAGCGCGAAGATGCGCCAACCCTTCGTCACGTTCCCCTTCGCTAGCTTCGATTACGTCGGCACGAGAAGAGGCAGATGCATCAGTATCTCAGAGCGTAGTGACTTATCTAAGGTCGATGGCATGCGTAGACCCTGGAGTGTTCACAGGTGCTGCAAATGAAAAATTTTGAAGACTTTGTGAGAAGATTCAGGAGAAAGTATGAAGAGTATAGGATGTGAAGCAACTCTTGTAGAGATCCTTGGGGATGATCATCTTGGGAGGTAAAGCGAAAAGTGTGTTCACAGCACTCCCTAGAAGGACCTAAGGAACAGGGGCCTGGACGTCGGTCTTAGAGAGAATTGGCAGTAGTGAAGAGAGCCTTAGTGGCTCGTGTTGCAAAGCCTTAGTGGCTGTGCGGAGAAAGCCTGTGTGGCCTACCGTTGGAAGAGGTTGCGCCGTGCACCCGCGCTGTGGACATAAATTCCCTGCTTGCTCCCCGTGTTCGACCGACACCAACCACCTCCGAGCACCGTTCGTACAAGACATCTAATCTAATTTTTACATTTGTTAGTTCTGTTTGTTATAATAAACCTTAATTTGTACTGGTTGTCTCACACGCACAGTTAATAGGTTTACTCCCACGTCGTAGCAGACGAATCCGTCTTACACTACAACTATTCTTAGCCTAATAGAAACTTAAAAACTTCGAACTGATGCGCGACGTGGCGTTTAAAGCCCACGTATTGGTGCCCACAAACATCACGTCGCGCTTCAGTTTAAAGGGAAGCCCCGGGATAAAACTGTGCGTATGAGCAGCAATAGTTGAGAGGAGCAATAATGAGCGCCAATAATAGGAGTGGGGCTGCGGTAAGGGCTGAAAGTTAAAAAGTCAAAGGAGCCATCAAGAACACAGCCATCAAATTCAGAGATTAAACTTCAGTAAGCACTGTTGTGATGCGACTGAGCGGAGATCAGAGAAAACGAGGAAGCACGCCTCAGGAAAGGGCATAAGAAACGGTCATTGTAACCGCCTCCAACAAACTAAAACTCATGGTCGGTAGTCATGAACATGAGTAAGCTGCTACCGATGCACCTTTGAGCAATGTTCGCGAGCGGGGCTGCTCTACCTACCAGAGAGATTCCTTCAGTAGTTTGAACCTTGTCCTCTATGCTTAATGCTAAATAATGCTTAATATGTGTGACTTGAGAGGCTTGGAAGCGAGAGTCCCTTACTTCATCAGTTCACCTCGGTTTATTATATAGCCGCTTACAGAAAATTAGTTACCATAGCCTCGATAGAAACATCGTGTTCACCCTTTTACAGCATCATCGTTTGCATCTATGTATATGCGTTCTTGCATATCTGATTCAAGAAAAGAAACAGAAGGCAATAGGCAAGAAAATTATGGTGAAGGGGTGAAACTGAAGCAGTAATGCAACTACAGTGCATTCCAAATGCATAAATGCACTTATGAAAACAGCTGTTTTGTAATTAGATTGAA